GATTATTATCGTTGTTATAATAATAATAATTTTGTTGTCATTTTCCAACAGATCATTGATGTTTAATAATAATCATTGTTAATGTTCACAACACATATGAAAGTATTTATCGATCAGTCAAAGATATTTTGGAATCTCGGGTCCAACTTATTTTTAATTTTTTGAAAATTTCAAAATTTATCTAATAAAACTATGGAAATAATGATGGAGAATGGCAAATATTGCCATTTAAATTTTGTCAATTTCATTTAAATTCATGTTAATTGTTTCAAAAATAACTGCAATTTCTATTTAATATTAAAAACTGAATAGAAAATTTTGCTTTTATTGATTTCATATTATTCGACTCTGAAATAGAGCTTGTAATGTAACAAAATAAGTGTGATGACCTTATAATGTGGCAGGATGAGTATAATGATGATCTTGTAATTAAGCATGAGTTAGTTCCTTTATTCAAACAATGAAAGTTTCAAATTGAAAAATTTAACATTGTGTATAGCAATATTTGTTCATAAATAATTTGCAATTTTGATTTTTGAAAGAACCCATCAAAGAGTAATTTAGGTCGGATGAAAAGAACAGATAAATATGCTTCTTCTTTGACAAAAATCATTTCACAGATTACTTCCCTTCTTTTTTCCCTTTTCCACATTTTAAAATGTCCAATTAAGGTTGAAAAGAAAGAATGAAACGAGGAATAAATACCAGAAGCGGATCTTTTATTTTGTTTTTTATTATTATTTTTTTTCTTGTGAAAATTGATTTATTTAAAAAAGTGCTGTTCTCATAAAATTTGATGTGCATATGTAAGATTTAAAATACCTGTTATGCTTTTTTTTTGCCCATTTTCAATTTCTGCTAACAATGCCAAAATGTCTCGCAATTTTTAACTGTTAAATTTCAAAATTATATTTATAAGAAAAAGTACTTACACATGTTCAATTACCCAAGCAAAAGACATTCAGATTTTTTTTTTGTTTTTTATTTTCTGGGAAGAATTGTAAATTACTGCTAGCTGCAAAATGTGTGAATTGTGAAACTTTAAATTTTAAGCAGTTAAGTAATAAAATGTAATTAAAGTAAGTGGGCGAATAATTAGTAAGAAATAATAATAACGAAAGAAGTAGTTAAGAAGTAAATAATTGAGTAAATTAATTTTTTATTTAATAATATATGAGAGGATCTGCAATCATGATGTATCTGATTTTTGCTTTTAAAAATTTATAAAACTTACTATCAGTTAGGATAGAAAAAAGGAATTGATAATCAAATGATGCATGAAAATGACAAATTTTGAGATAATATAAAAAATATAAAATCGTCTTTTTTTTTATCAAAGATTGATAACTTGTAATTTTCGAGGATAACAATCATCTAAATGCACTCAATAAAAAAAAAATAGTAAAATTTTCAATTCTTTCTTCAAAGATCAAAGATTCAAATAACGAATTATGAATAAAATCGATAAATTCTTTTTTCCATAAACTCCTCGTTTTTTTAAGTTATTTTTGATTATCATTATTTTAAATTATTTTCTTATTAGGAATAATTTCGAGCAAAATTCAACTTTTCCTGTCTAAATATATTTAAGAAAGAAAGTAAATTTTATCAATACCATATGCTCCGACCAATGAGAAATTTATTTAGGTGAAAAATGAAACACACCTGTTTTAGATAGTTCGAATTTTTTCAACAGTAAATTAATTTCTATTCTTTTGAAAATGTTATTTGCAGCCCAACTTGAGCAAATAGCTTTATTCATAGATGACTTTTCGACTTTTATCATTTGCTCTGAAAAATTTCTTGCCTAAGAAAAAGTATCACTTCTTTGTACGATAATAAAAACTGAAAAGGAAAATCTGAAATATTTGGATGTGAATAAATTTATTTTCTATGTAAATTCATGAGCTGAAGAATAATATCGTTACTTCAAATTCAATAATCGACAAAAATATTTATTACATTATGTAATCAAAATAATTTCTCGTTCCAATTTGAACTTTAAGTTTTACTTTTCCTTTAATTTAATCGATTTTTTATATATTTTTTAGAAGTCAAAAAAAATTTCAACTTCTACGATCATTCTAATTTTACCACGATAAGTAAACTGAATTAAATTTTACTGAAATAAAATCTTTTTCCTGATTTTCACGTCACTTAAATTGAGGAACAAAAATAGGAGATCAAAACATTATGAATTGCAAACATAGTAATAAAGCCTAGCCAAGTTAGCCTTAATTGTATTGGCTGAATATTATGTACCGAAATGGTGTATTTAAGGCTAAGAATTTGTGGTGTAAAAAGTATCGAATATATAATTACAAAAATAACAATTATATTATTTAGTATAAAGTAAACTTCGAGTATTATTATCATAAATATAACTGCATTGTTTCATAAATTGAACGATTGAATGATTGAATTAGAAATGAGTTGAACTCCCAATATTAAATATTATATCAACTTCAGTATTGTATAATATATAATTCTAATATTATATTGATTTCCTGTTCTGATATAAAAACAACGTAATTTATGATTATTCTATATACAAAATTATAAAGTTAATATAAGCAATCGATGCTCTAATCACAAATATTAAATATAGTTTTTAATTTTTTGCCCTTGGATTTAAACTTTTCAAATTCCTTTCTTTATTTCTTTTTTTCCCTGAAAATCATTGGAATTTTTTGAATTTTGCAAATAATCCAAATATACAATTTGAAAATGTTTCATCGATCAAAGTAAAACTTATCAATGAAACGAATTAGAACAAATATTGGAATTATCAAAAATACAGTTGACATAACGGAAATTATTATGATTGTCGTGGTTACATACTTAAAATCATTAACTTTTATTTAAAATTTACTGAAAATTAATATTAACTAGATAAACTATATGATAACATTTGGTCTTATAATTTTTTATTGCATTATCCGATAAAATGATTTTTTTAAATTATCAAATTATTAAATGTTAAAATGATTTTCTATTAAAATTATTAAGTATTAGATTGAAAAATAAATAAGCTATAATACCAATGTTTTTTCAGCAAAATTTCTTTTAATCTAATCTCTATCTTTTTATTGCGATTAAATTAAATACGTTTTGGTATTTCTATGCATTTCATAGTATGTATTTTTAGGTGCGAATAGTGGAATAAGAATTAATACAGGTTGGTGGTGTTGCATTAATAAAAACGGTAGACGAGGTATTGTACCGGCGAATCGTCTTCGTATGCTTCATCGATTCGATCAGAATACTTCACCTCAGGTAAAAGAAAATATTACTTTAATAAATTCATTTAATTTCACATCTCTTCTTTCTCTTTTTCTCTCCTTCTTTCTTTCTCTTATCTCTTATACTAAGGAAATTTATTTCATTTCATTCCATTTGATTCTCGTTTTTATTTTTTTCTTTAAAATTCAAACGATATTTCATTAAAAATTTCTCATAACCTTGCATCAGTTATATTTCATTAAGAATTTCTCGTAACTGACACATCTAAATTGCAACAACAAAAAAAATCTCATTTCAAATTTGCTTTAAAATTAAAACTTTAAGTGATATAGTTCGTTCTAAAACAAATTTCACTTTTCGTTAAAAATATTTCAACATTGTTTTTGATTATGCATTTGTTGAAAGTGCTTAAAAAATTGCAATGTTTAAAAAATTCTAATTTCAAAATTATCTATTATTTTTTTTTTTTTAAAAAATGTTCTTAAAGTTCCGAGAAGTTGCTTTCAATTTTTATTCTTTCTCTGTCTCATGTATTAAAAAAAAAGCAATTGTGTGTAAAACAACAAAATAACCAGGAACAATTAAAGAAATTTTTTAATTTTTAGTGAGTGAAAAAAAAGGAAAAAGGGTGGAGAGTTTAAATGCTAATTTATCTTAAATATATTTGTTGTAAGAAATGATAAGATAATAAAAAGATAATTTGCTAGAACTGACATAAAAGAAAGCTTATCACTCCCTTATAAATTTTCCACTTCTTTGCTCATATATTTTAGTGCGAGAAGAAATAAGAAAAAAGTTTTTTGAACTGCCGAAATAAACATTTTAACATTACAATGTTGTTTACAGTTGTAAACTATACTTTTCTGATAACATCCCAAATTAAATTATCACTAATTAAATATCGTCAATTAAAAATGAATTTTTTTAATTGAAAATATTTGGTGGTAATAATAAGTGAAATTTTAGTTGGTTCAGTTGACTCCTTTCATCACCAAAACATCTCGAATAGTTTTCTCTTTCTCTTTCGCTCTCTCTTTCACATCTATATCAATGATAAAATAATGTTAAAATTTTATTTTGTTTTAACATTAATTAACAATTATTGTTGATGTTTAAAAATATTTAATAAAATTTTGATATAAATAACAATTAACAAATGTTTTGCTATTCTTCCAATTTAATATTATTCATTCTTTCAGCATCAAAAACAGTACTCATTTGATAATTTTTTAAACAATTTCCAACTTTTCCAATATTTTCTTTTTTTTTTAGTACAATACTTTTCTAAATTCAGTATCTTTTTTTCTCATTTTTGAAGTTGAAAAACTTTAATCCATTCAATTTTCTCTCAAATCTTATTTATTAAAGTTATAGATTATTTGAAAATACTTCGATGAAATAAATAGATGAATTTCAATCCTTCTTAAACTAATTTGTCTATGTTTATGCAATGTATGCATGTGTGCATGTGTGTGTATGTGTGCATGTGTGTATGTGTGTTCATATATGTATGTGTGTATGTATGTGTGAGTAATACGTGTGAGTAATATCTCGGATACAAGTACCACTTCGGTTATTTGTTTACTAAAGTAGTTTTGCTTATATCTTCTAATATCGATTCACCTTTTCAATCTTTCCTTTAATTATATATTTCTTTCATCCAAATATACGCAAAAATTTACATGTTGTATGTAATTTCAAAAAATTTCTCAATTTAAAATTTAAAATTTTGAAAGTTTAAATATTGCCCTGACATTTTATACTTTCAATCTTCTTTGTTGATATGCATGAATTACTGTGTGAAAGATTTACATCTTCTCAGATTACATTCTTCATTGATTTCCGCATAATGTTTTATACCTTTTTTTTTCTTCATTTGTATTTAATATTTAGAGGAAAAAAATGAATCTTAAATTTTACAGCGCACAAGTTACGTGAAAATAAAGAAATGACGTAAATGAATTTGCACACTTAACAAATTGAACTGATTTTCCGATCTATACGATTAAATTTTCTTTGCAAATAAAAATATCATACAAAATTTATTTTTGCTAATTTTTTCTTACATATTCTTATCGATTGAATTTCGTATGAATTTCAGATAATTTTTTGCACCATTAGCTATATCGTATTTTATAATAAAAAAAAATGAAATAAAAAATTGAGAAAAATAATTAATGGATGGAAAAAGATGATGAATCAGTTCAGTCAACCAAACATTCCTCCTCTTTTCAGTCATTTCACTTCCACTTCATTTCTTTTTCTTTCAAACAAATTATTTGTTTGTTTATTTTTTTTTAATTTCGGTGTTTTATTTTTATTACATTTTTCAATGTGTGTTTTCAAATGATAATTTCCCCCTTCTATTTTTTTATTTCGTTTTTTTATTATACAAAAAATTTACAAGACAATTTACAAGTTATTACAAAATAATTTCCCCCGATGATTTAATTTTTCTCCATGAAAATAAAATATTCTAAAATATAAATGAAATATTCTGAAATATTCTTCGTACAATTGAGCTTTTTCTTTACTCAAAAAAAGAAGAAAAATCACGTTGTTTTAAAAACGATGTTATTTCATCGCTAATGCAAAAAAAATTAGCAAACAAAATTCCAAAAAAAAATTATTTCTTTAGACTGTTTACACAAAGTCTTATCTTTTCTATTATCGAACGAAATCTAAAAATATTTATGCATTTTTATATTATAATTAAGATTATTCTTTTAAAATTTTAATATACTTTTGCAATTTTATTGAATAAAATTTGAATATGATCAAATTCATTATCAAAATTTATTAAAAGTTTGTCATAGATTGGCCATATAATTTGAATAGTTTATTTAGAGAACTTAACTGTATGATTCAGATTATTTAAATTTCTTATTTCATTTGCATACTAATGTAATAATATTACAATTATTTACATTACTTATATTCAACTGCTAATCGCTATGCTCAAAAGTTACACTAAAATATATAGCTATTAATTAATTAATTAAATGAATTTTAAGCATAAACTAAAATATTTGGCAATCTTTGTTTTAACTTGATAAGAATGTTTAAAATATATATTTAATTGTTTAAAATTAATTGCAAATTTATTTTGATTTTGATTGCCTGAATTTATTCTAAATTTAAATTCATACATAAGTTAAATTTTTTATATGAAAGTATCAATTTCAGGAATCGATCTCATCACAACCATTTATCGATAGTAACAGCAGCAGTGGTAACAGTAATAGACGACGGTTCATGTTTGGTAATACCGGAAGACTGTCAACAACACCATTTATCGATGACAATGATTCACTGAACGATATTACATCGTCACTCACCAATGAATTCATTAATTTGCCCACATTTAATTCAGGTCTATTTTTAATCTTCTTTTCATCCTTAAATTTTTAATTCATAATTTTGTGCACGTTTAGACTTTAACAAAAGTCATAGGACGAAAAAAAAAAAGGAAAAAGGACAAGAATGATTATTAAATTTTTGTGCTATTCTTTTTCCTTATATTGATTAATTTTTCATCAAAAAAAAAGGAAATTTTCTTCGATGCAAAAATATATTAAAAGAAATCAATTATTTAATTTTTCAATAAGCTGAAAAATTACATTTAAAAATATAATAATGCATATATGATGAGTTGATATGGATATGAAAACTTAAATTTAACCATTTTGCAATTTTAATTTAATTTTTTTCATACTATTTAATTTTAAATGTAAATGAATTATAAATAAATTCACATTAGTATTATTAGTAACGCATTATTAGATTACACAACATTATAGGATTTTTAATTTGAGGAAACTCGGGAAGTTCAATTGAATCATCCTCTCCTTTTTCTTCAGGCTCATTGTTCGATCGTATATTTCCTCTTTCACCATTGGAACGCTACAAGGACACCTCTTTGCGCCATATGTCCAATGGTACTTTTGGTTCACCGCCATATGGCGTTGTACGAAATATTCCGATTAAAGTGGAAAGTGTAAGTGCTCATTTTAATTCATTCAGTTTCATCATTTATCAATCAATCAATCGAATAAGCATATCAAATTTTATGTTTTACTTTTTCTGTTGCATGAATTGCGGAATTACATCCAATCGTGAATTTAGCCGATAAAAAGGTGATAATATTCGATAAAAATTGCACGGAAAATGATTCTATTTATTTATCATAGTTTGAGTAATTTTATTCTATTTAAGAATTCCTAAATAATATTTGATTGAATTTGGTTAACACTTTTTAGCCATTCATTTATTTTATAGTATATATTTTTATTTGTCAAAATGTTTTATGTAAATTTAATTTAATTCAGTTTAATGAACAAGGAAAATTCGATGCTTTTTTTCGTTTTTTGTTTTAATCATTTTTGATTTGTTAAAGTTTTAAACTAATTCAAAAATCTAACGTACTATTATAATAATATTTCTTCGATAATTAGTTAATTCTTTTAACATATAAAAAGTATAATAATTGTTTTTTGATTTATTTCAACTTTTCCCGAAATACATTTCTTATTGTTTTGTTAGTATTAGCCAATTATGAATTTTCCCTGAAAACAACAGGAAGATGAAAAGATATTATCATTCTATTCGATATGATTGAATTTTCAATTGAATTTTTCAATTCAAAATATAAAATATTGGGTTTTTTAAGTGGGTTAAAGCTTTAACTTTCTTTTCATTTTCTGCAACGTACCAAATTTATCATAATTAAATGGTTGATAGTTAAAATTTCAATTTTCTCTTATATTTCAGGCATCATTAAATGATAATGGTAATAGTTTTGATAAGATAAGAAGTAACACGCTTGTTTTCTCAAGCAATCGCAATTATAACGATGACCGATCCAGTTCAACATTTCCTTATTATTATAAGAAATTCGAAAGGTTAGCATCTTTTTCTAAATTTAACCATATTGATTGATAATATGTACACATGCCATTTCCATTACTAGCAATTTTAAAATCATTTTAAATCATTTCTAATTTCTCCAGAATTTTTTTTGATTTTCATCTATCGATCCCACACTGATTTATTCCTTAATCAAATTTTTTTTTTATAATTTTATGATTTTTTTACTGATTAGTTTTGTTTGCTTCATACAGTTTAAAAATCAAGCAAAAATTATTACCTTTGTGTGTGCATATGTGTGTGTATGTGCTTCTTTGACATTTCGTTGATTATTCCAGATTCAATAAAATTTTTAAGTTCTATTCTTTGCTTCAAAATATAATACTAACAAATGGAAATCTCAAAAATTTTAAATTAGCTATTAATTTACATAATTTAATCTTTGCTATATTGCCATACAGAGAAAAATCATCCTCATTCCATACAGAACGTTGATGATTTAGGATCTATCTTGAAATTATTATGAAGATTGATGTCCTTTTCATCAAATACTTCATTCCTCTTCTTGTCAAAATATTTTTTTTTTTTTTTGAAACCAATAAAAGATGCAATTTCGAGAAAGGAATAAATAAGTGAAATAAAAGCTGTTATTTTATGATAATTTTTAAGTGTTTGTATCGTTTTTGAAATTTTATTGTTCGCTGGAAATTGCTCCATCCATCATGCTATGTTAGTTCTTATCCTAAATGTGAAGGTCATAAGTGAAGATCTATCATGACCTTCTTCCATATGCTACGAATTGGTACTTTATACGATTTTTATTGGATGAATGCAACAGAATAGCAAACATTTCCTTTCACTTTTAAAATGTTTATGTCAAACTTTTGTTTATGCACTTTAGTTCAATTAATAGCAATGTCAATCATTAACAACTTATAAAATACTTCATTTTCTCTTTATCTTTCAAAAAAAAATTTTTTTAAGATTTTGACACTTAAAAAATATTTCATTTTTTCTATATTTTTTTTGTATTTCAGAAAAGTGTCAAATCGTTCTTTTTTTCTTTTTCTTTTGATAAAAATTAATTAAATATTTAAATTAGCTACTACTAATCATTGACATCAATTGACGGTAATTTTGATGACAGATTTGCTCTTTTTTTTGGGTCAAAATTCTTGAAATCACGAATATTTATTGTTCCGATTAAAGTTATCAATTTGCTAAAAAGAAATAATAAATAAAAAATTTTCTTTACTTTCTATTTTAATGTTATCAAGTTTTTTTTTACTTTATAACTTTGTTTAGTACATACACAAATATAACCATTTTTTTTTAATTTATCAAAATTTTCGATAATATAATTGTCTCCGAGTTAATTAACACCCATACATTGCACCCGCACATTTTTTCATTAACACCTATGCAATTAACGCCCATACATTACTTTTGCACTGATAATATTTTGACGATAAAAGCAAACATTCATTTTATTTTACGATAACTTATAAAATTTCAAAAATAGTAATAATATAAAAAATACTGAAAGCACGGAAAAATTGTTTTCAATAAAAATTGTATCTTTTTGAAAATAATTTGAAAAAATACAACAATTTTAACTCTTTTCAACATTACCTTCAATTTATTTGTTATCGATTTTTCCCTAACAAAAAATTCCGAACTTTTTATTTTCCACAAAAGAAAAGATAAAAAAGAAATTCTTATCAATAAAAAAAATTGAAGAAAAAAAGAGAAAAAGGATGGAAAAAAGAAGAAAAACATCCATTTAAGCATTAAATACATTCAATGAATGATAATAAAACATTTTTTTTTTGGTGTAAAAAAGCGCAAAGTTTAATGAGAATTTTCAAGGGCAATAAATTCACTCTCCGCCATTTTCTATCATTTCGTCTTTTCCATCATTTGGTGAAAACGAAGAGCAATAGTTAAACTTAGAGCTACTTTTGATTGAAATTCAAAAAAGAGGGAATTTATTTATATGTTTGACAAAAATCGTCGTGAATGAAATTGTTGAGTTTAACTCTTTTATATTAATTCACATTTTTTTTTTACTATTTTTACCTTCTTTTTTCCTTTTTGCAATTTCATCTTCAAGATATAAATTACAAGATTTTAACTTTAAATTCAAATAATTTAGTTTGAATAAGATTTCATCGCTTTTTCTTTCTTTTTTAATTTTTTTTAAAATTTCTCTCGAAAATTCTCTTTTTCATCTCTTCTCGCTCTTTTTTTGCTTTCTCAATGATAATATTAACAATTGATGGAAAATAAAATTGATTAAATGACAAAAATTACGAAAAGTAAATCATTTAAAATACTTTTTTACTGTTCGATAGTTATAAGCAAAAAAACAAGTAAAAAAATGCTTCGTTTTTTAAAAATTTATTTTGTAAATGAAAATAAATTAAAATGGAAGAGAGAGAGAGAGAGAGAGAGAGAGAGGCAGAACGAGTGAGAGAGATAAGCTTTCACTCAAAATGAACGGATTTTTTAAGTTTATTGCACGTAAAAGCCATTGATCAAAACCTGTTCGTATCAAAAAAAAATTCCTCGTTTGAATTTTTTTTTTTTTTTGAAGCTACTTGTTCGAAAAATTAACTGACAAGACAAATATGTAATATATTAACTTTAAACTAACCAAACTGCAAAAAAATTAAAGTAGATGAATTGAGAAGTATGAAAACTGGTTCTTGATAAAGTTTGACAAAATTTTCTATCAGTTATAAATTAAAAATAAGCACTCGGTTAAACTAAAATTTTATAAATTCTTGAAAAGATTTAATTTTGGTTAATTAATTGAACTTTCAAAGCATTTCTGAATATATTAATTTAAATAATAATATTTCAATTAAGATAAGTCGATTATACCAAAAAAACACAAATTAATAATAATATTTCTATTTAATCGTCAATTAACTTTGTTGAAACTTATTGTTAACAAAGCTTGCAATTCGAAATCTGAAAATGATAAATTGAATAATTTAAAAATCATGTGGCAATTATATGTATCATTCATTTAGAATTCATTCATTTAGCAAGCGATACATTTGTTCATATTTTACGTCTATTTTATATGTGAAATAATTAAAAACTTGTTATTGTCATTATTTTGCTGCTACTGTTTAAAGAGAATAAAATATTGGCGAGTAAATGAGGGGTAATTACTTTACTTAATTACCCTTCATTTACTCTCTAATATTCTATGCTATTTTAACATTCTAACTGTACTGACACAGAAAATTTCAAATCGTTAGCATACAAGATTTCGGGTACTGTAATAAAATTTTAGGATATTAGAATAATAAAATTGATTCTAAATTTTTAATTCATTACATTTGAATTAATAAAAAAATTATTAAAAATGTCAAATATTTTGCAAATTTATAGGATAACTCCGATATTAATTAATGCAAATATCGCGATTTATTGCGATTAATTAATCTATTCGCCGTCGCTCCGTGTTAATTGAGATAAAGTAATTGATTTATCACTTAATTCAACCAAAAAAAAACAACTTTGTTAGGTCAGATGAAATGACAAAACTGCCAAATAAAATAATTCACCACATATTGTAACTGTGGATAAGTTCAACTTAGGACAGATTTTTTCCCATCTGTTAAAAATAAATTTTTTGAAAGGATTTCATCTGTGATCCTAAAAACAAAATGACTTTCATCAATCAACTGAGACATTTTGATAAAATTTATAACTTCTGATCATTTCTGTTCGTATCAATCAGTAGCATTTCGTTGCTATACCATTTTTGATGATTAATTTGAAACGATTTTGTGATTGAACAATTTCGTTTATTTTGTTATGGCTTCTGATCGTTTCTATCCGTCTTTTTTTTGATTCGCATTTGCATGCACAAATAAATGCATGCTTACATGCATGCATGCACGCATACTTCTTGCAAATTTGTAAAATTCATTCCAGATCATAATTAAGTCAAAGATATCAAAAGGCTTAAAAAGATATTAGAATATGATTATTCCAAATAAACTTATTATTAGTTGTCATTTTATATTTTACTATACATTCGATAAACAGATTCCATAACGTCATGTTTAAATAAAATTTAAAATTTAAATTGAAGTAAATCTATTTTTTAATTTTGTATTTCTTTTTAAGTCTGTGTCATTTGTGATGACAGACTGAATACTTCGAAAACTTTATGTTATTATGTTAGAAGATGGAGCAAAGATCACCCAGAAGCCTTGAGGTAAATCTATTTTTTTAACTTTTTTCTTGAAATAGAAGTTTGCGCAGAAATCGAGATTTTGTAAAATAAACTGATTGGATGCACCGAATTTTATTATCTATTTTCCTCATTTAACCTTTAAATTGAATTGCATAAAAACAACTGATAAGACGGAACGGTCAACGGAAAAAAACTTACCAAGTAAAGTTTGTGTTGGACAAAATTTTCCAAGCAAAATTTATCTTGACAGTGTTTGCAATTGATAAATTATCAAACAGATATTGGAAAAAGTAAAAATTAAAAAATTATAGTGTATATAATTAATGATAAATAGATTATAAGTGTTCATTTTTGTTTGTTATTTTATTATTTAAAAGGAAAAAAAGTGAAATATTTGAGAAAGGGAATTAATGGATTTTAAATGAATGCATAACTTAGCGAATGACCTCTGCAATGCTCATTCAGGCCATTTTTTTACCGAAACTATGAACTACTGCTCTATCTCTCTTTTTAGGCTTACCAAAAATCAATAGCTTTTTTGGCCGCTTCTTTTTTAATTTTATTCATGCTTCAATTTAAATATTTATTTATCTCTTAACCAGTACAGTATTCTCGTGAGTCGTTATGACATTTGTTAAAACATGGAAAAAAAGAAGCTAGGAAATTAATTCGATTTTTAAAATATGAAAAAAGATTATTGCGAATTAGTTTTGAATACCGTAGTGCAAAAATTAAAATTTGACGAAAGTTTTTTAACCAAAAAAAGTTCAATTAATTTTACATACTTGTTTGAGAAATTTCTAACACTTTACGTGGCAGATTCATTATTCTCGGTCAATCTTATTTGCAATGT